AGAAACCCTGTCTCGAAAAACCAAAAAAAAAAAAAGAGAGAAAGAGAGACACACTCGATATACTTCTCACCTGCCCTGTTTGCGATGCTGCTGCCTGGGCTCCTGTAAGAGCCCTCAGGGAAACCGAACTGTGGGGCTCAAAGGAGACCCCAGGCGCAAAGCGGCAGCAGACATACCTGCCTCCCGGTACTGGCCAAACACCAGGTCTGTACGGTCCAGGGCGGCGGCACTCCCCACATGTGTCCCCTCCTCACCATAGTTGGTCATGTAGAAGGAGATCCGGCCCTGGGGGTGAAGAGCCCAGAGGCCAGGGCTTGGTTAAGGCAGTCCTTGACAGAGAACCCTGCCTGATTTTTTGTTTGTTTGTTTGTTTTTTTGAGACAGGATCTCTCCATAGTCCTGGCTATCTTGAACTCACAAGCTGACCTTGAACTCATAGAGATCTGCCTGCCTCTCCTTCCTGGGTGCTGCAATTAAAGGGGTGTGCCAGCACACCCAGCCCTTTGCCTAAATTGTAAGGATCAGCCATCAATTTAGCCATCGCTGGGCTGTGCTGGGCTGGGCTGCAGGAACTCCTGCCTCCAGAAGACACTGAGTGGACAGTGAGGGCGGAGTGACAAGAGCCCAAAGGAAGGCGCAGGCATAGCCAGGGTGGAGAGAACCTGCTGTAGCGGGCAAAGGCAGGCAGGGCAGAAGGCCTAGACAAACGGACAAGGAAAGACATGGGCCGAGCCATGAAGGGAGACGAGGTGATGGGACACTCTGCGGGGTGCTGCAGCTACACTCCAGCTCAGCAGCTCTGCGGGGAAGGGACAGAGAAAGAAAGGAAAGCGTGAGCCAGGAGGGGGACTGGCGGCCTGTCTGGGAGCTAGGGGGACAGGGGAGGGTCCTCAAAAGCCACATCAGTGGTGCTAAGTGTGACCCCCACCCTCACCCCAGGCCAGCTATCTTAGCCTCTCTGTCCTGGACCTGGAAAAGACATTGGGGCTCCCAGTCTCCCTTGCCAGACAGAGGTGGCTGCTCAGGGACAGTTTAAACCCGAAGCTTTAATGGAATGTGTGTTTTGGGATAAGGGAGACTACTGCTGGCACCATCCCACCCCCTCCTTCTTTCTGCCCTGCTCAGAGCCACGATGCCTGGACCTATGGCAGCCATCCTGTGAGTCCGAGGCAACAGGCACAGACACCATTCTGTCAGAAAGGATGC